CGGACATTTTTTGGACCGATTGAACCATATTGTATACGAACAATCTTTGGTAGGCCTATAATATAATTATAGATCTATATTTTACTTTTATTATCCGAAATATGCGGGAAAGGGTGTGATTTCAGAGTGTTCGGAGAAATAGTGCCCAGCTTTATTTTCCCGAACGTTCGGAGAAATAGTGCCGGCCTAAAAATAATGTACAAAAAACAAAGGGTAAGAGAGGCTAAATTCTTGGTCTACAGTCGAACAACACGAGATCTAGATCTACATTTAGTCTCTCTATATAACTCTTAAGTCAAGTGATGGGTTTCACGTAGGGTAGGCCAACAATACAAGCTGTAAGTTCTGCGTGTTCAGAACCGAGCTCAGGTGGAATGTGTGTCGACAACAATTAATAAAACACATGATGCGTGTGACACCTGTGCAGTCACTCTCCATCCATGACACACAGTTCCATCACAGCTGTGCCGCACTCACACTCACCCCACAACAAGAGAGATCTAAATCAAGATCTAGATCTAGACTCTAGTAGGTCTACACCGCTGGCCAAAACACCGTATACACGACAAGGAAGCCAATCTACTCTTCTAGAGTCTAAAAATCTAGATCTCTAGAATCTAGATCTCTAGATCTAGATCTAGATCTAGATTCTAGATTTAGAATCTAGAGACAGAGATAGAATTAGATTCCTGGCCTACAATGCCTAGAATATAACAAAATTGTAATTTCTAAGAATGTTCTCCTGTGCGGGTCGACCGACAGCTCCTGTGTGCTGGGTAACCATTGTTTACACTCTCCGCAGTGTGGAGCTGCAGCTGATGAAGTACGGTAACCCGGTTAAACATTATGTATAATTTTCATTTCCACAATTAACATTTTTTTCATGAACCGTAAAACCTACTTTGATATTTTTTGGTCAAAATACTATAGATTAACTAGATCTAGGCCTCTATAGCACACATTGGCTGTGTAAAAAATAAGATAATACGCTTTTTGTGCCAAAACAATATTTTAAAAAAAATGTTTGCATTGGCGACAAAACAATAAATAATGCTGTGAGGTTACTGAACATACAGCTACAAATGAGAGAGAGAGAGAGAGAGAGAGAGAGAGAGAGAGAGAGAGAGAGAGAGAGAGAGAGTTTTACGGAGCGGGTTGTCCCAGCACGTGAGACATGT